AATTGAATTATTTGTATTGGAACTCTACAACCTGCTTCCATTTTCTTCATGGTCCTTGCGAGCCAAATTCGAATTGGCATATGGCAACGCAATCATCGAAAAAAAATACACCTTACAACACTGCTTTGCAGCAATCAGAATTTTCGTTCTTTCTCAGCTGTCAATCAACCAGAGTAGCAGCAAATTTTCAAAACGGCTTTGCGGCAAGTATCAGCGAGAAAAAGTCTAAATTCGTGTATGTACCTATATCCACGCAGTGCGCAAATTTAAAATACGCAGCATAAAATAAAGGTGGTTGTAAACCATAGTCCGCAGGTTCGTACAAACAAAATTGTAAAAAACAAAGGCAAAGTGCAAGCATTCTGCGTAAAATACACCGCAATCTCAGGCATCAGCAACGGTGCGAGCAGCACAAAACGGCGGTGGACATCGCGCTCGTGGTGGAAGAAAAAACTAAATATTCAAGCAAAATCAAAGGTGTGCAGCGAAAAATTTGCTTGCAAAGCATTGGAGCACTAAATGCAAACATTTCAGGCTATCCCAGGCATCAGAAACTATACGAGCAACGGAAAACGGCAGTAGATCACGTTCTTCGTAGTAAAGTTTGACCAAATCCTAAAAGCGTCCAGCGAGGCAGTTGCGTTCAGGACAGAGTGGAAGTACATCGGCGCCTCCAAAAAGATCATAAGGAGCAAGGAAGTCTCATCGTAAGAAGTATTGCAGTAAAACCGTAAGTCAAACATACATACATTTACCGTTATTTCCAACGGACACTACATACGCACATGTACATATGCATATGCAAACCTGTAACTATTTACTCGTTTCTCATTTTCTATACACATGCTTTACTCGTTCGATTCAGCTCTAAAAATTTTGCTTCTCAAAAACTTCGTTTTGTTTCATTCTTCCACTCCATTTTTTCGCAATCTATTTGAACCGCTTGCGTCGGTGCCCTGGACGAACGTTAATCTTTTCAATTTATCGGCGCAGTAGCAAGTGTCGATTTTATTAAAATTTAAATTCTAATTAGAATACCAAGAAAATAAAAGAAAAACAATTCTAAAATTCATCCGACTGGAATTTGTGTGCACACGCATAAGAGAGTAAAAAGCGGAGACAACGTACCTATGTATGCACATAGATGTACATATGAAAAACCTCTCGGTCATATTATTTCATTCTTCCATTCCATTGTTGGCAATCTCTTTGAACAGTTTGCGTCGGTGCCACTGACAACAGTTGTCATCTTTTTAATTTCTCATCTTCATTGCGCACAACCTTTGCGTTGCGCATTTGCTACACCCATCGGCGCGGTAGCAAATGTCGATTTCTTATGAAAATTTAAATTCTAATTAGAAAACCAAAATAAAAGAAAAACCATTCTACAATCCCTCAGCTTTGCATTTGTGCGCATACGAGAGTTAAGTGCGGTGCCAACGTACATTTGTATGCACATACATTCAAAGCCTCTCGTTCATCTTATTTCATTCTTTCATGACATTGGTCGCAACCGCTTGCGTTGGTGCCAAAGATAAACGTTTTTCATTGTCCCAATGTCTATTGTTCGTTGCGCATCAGTTACAAGTTTGCTTTGCTCAGTTTGCTGCCCCCATGGACAGCGAAGCAATTGTCAAAATTCCAATTAAATTCTAATAAGAACGGTGATGGAAATAAAGAAAACAAATTGATTTGCTTGGATTTGCGTGCATAAGAATCAGTGTTGCCATTTCGGTGCCTTTGGAGCTAGATTTAGCTCTTTATTTTTCTATATAGCTCCGAAAATTGGGCTTTAGCTCCTAGCTCTTTTCAAAAGTATCCAGCACCTTGTCAGCTCCAGAAAGTTTTAGTTGTATTTGGTAATATATTAATATATATATATCTACATATGTACATACATGTCTGTATATTGTAGTATTAAAATTGAAGTGTGGTAGCAATAAAGCAAATAGTGCGGCTATTAATAACTGCCATATATTCTTACACATATACGTATGCTTAAGAAATTGAATATTATCGTCGGTGTGGTAAACTTTACTAAGCATAAGCAATCTAGAGACGATAATTGTCATAAAGAAGGAAAGAGGAAAAATCTTGGGCGAAGTGCGAGTGTCTGCCCAGTGGTAAATTTTGCGCGTCAAAGTTCAAGTGAGTGGATTTTTTTACCAATTTGCAAGGCCATCACACAGGACTTTCTGCATTTTTCCACGAGATTTTCGGTTTTCCCTATTCAGGTGAAAGAAATTCTTATTTATTCCCCCGTAACTAAACGCGCAGGTGTTGATTTAAGTACAAGTCCGGGTTGCTGAGACATAGGGCCTCATGCATAAAAAGTGAGCTTAAGCTCCGACTCGTTTTTCAGTACAAATTCTTGAGCTTGAGCTCACCCTTTCAGTGCAAAAATTGAGTCTGAGCTTAAGCTCACTTTTTATGCATAAGGCCCATAGTGTTTCCAAATTCTTTCGCATTACGAGCATAACTCTATTTAAACCCAAATAATTTACATTCGGACGGTGCCCAAGCAGCAGTGCGCGTAATCCCACAGTAAGCACAGGTACGCAAGAACAGTATACCTATTGTTTCACTGCAGTAATTATAAAATTTTTTCGTTTATGCAGTAAACACTTAGGTAAATTCAAAAAAAAAAAATATATATATATATATATATATATATATATATATATATATATATATATATATATCAAGTATAAACGCTTGTATCGAGTTCAAACTACATAGTCATAGCAGATTGAATTGACAGACTTGCTTGTATTGAGACAAAAATCAAAATAACAATAACACCAATCAATACATACAAATTTATTTTGAAAATTATGTACATCCGACATTCATATCTTTATATATATGTATACCTAAATCAGTATCGCTAAAGAAAATTGGGTATGTATATACCTATATACGAGCTTGAGTCTACCTAACCAAAACCAACACAAGCAGAGAGAAGATTGTTCGTTAATCAAGTGTTTAGCAAAATATGTATTTGCAAGCTATGTCACGTTGTGTTGCATAGTAAAAACAGCCACTATTATTTTTCCAAATTTCTACGTAAATAAATAAAATACTGAAATAGACATCTCGTACTAGTTGCATAACTTAGTTCGTCAATTTGTATACCAAATAGCACTGCGCAGCCTCTGCTTGCGTCGGCACCGTAAAATATTGGTACGCTATTGTCGTTTACAGGGGGTTCGTAGGTTTCTTACGTCCAACTTTTCCGTAAAAAAGCATAAATCCTGGGTGAATAAATTTCTAAAAAAAAAAAAAAGGAAAATATTGCGAAATCCCGATTGCAAATCAGTAGCGTTCCCTCTGTTCCACTCTAAATTAAAGACTACTCCAAATTCAAAATGTCGATCAATCAGGACCTTACCTCCCAGTTCATCTTTGAGTCTAATAGTGTCATTCAGTTTTGTTCTAATTTTGAACGAGAGGACCTTGCTGACCACACCGACTCGCTACTTGAAGTGAAGCTTCAAGACTTAAATGCACGCTGGGAAAATTTGCGTTCCTCTTATGCAAACGTATGCATTGCTGATGAAAGCTCCGTTTCAGCAGAAGTCAAGGCAGAGGCTCACGACAAATTTCAGCTGTGCGCAGATACGTTTTACATTTGTAAAGCCCATATCTTAGATCAAATTAAACTTATTCAAGGTACCCCAACCAAAAATTCGAATTTGAATCACTCTCTTCTGTCTCAGTCAGATAACGCAATGGCTTGCATTAAAGTCCCTCCATGCGACACGGAAGTATTTTATGGCGGTTACGAAGATTGGCCCTCGTTTCGTGACATGTTCACGGCCGTATATCTGAACCACCCTAAGCTAACCCCTGCTCAAAAGCTCTATCACCTCCGAAACAAAACCAGAGGTAAAGCAGGTGGTATCGTTAAACATTATAAGTTATGTGACGAAAATTTTGCCCTAGCCTGGGAAGCCTTGCGTGCGCGTTATGAAAACAAGCAAATGTTAGCCGATAACCAGTTGAAGACGCTATTCAGTCTCCCGGCAGTTAACTCCGAAAACAGTGAGGCCATTCAAAGAATCCAAACCACAATTAATGATTGTCTTTCTTCACTAAATTCTCTAGGCGTTCCTGTCGCTAATTGGGATCCAATTCTCATTTATTTTTGTTCGACGAAACTCCCAGAAGAAACCCTTTCACTCTGGGAGCATTCGCTTAAATCTCGTAAGGAACTACCATTGTGGTCTCATATGAATGAATTCTTAACCAGTCGTTACGAAGTCCTAGAACGACTCAACAGTATTCGATCCACCAAGAATCGGCATTCCTTTCCACAACGCTCCAATGAAATTCAAGCCTTTCATTCGAAAGAAAACCTTTCCTTTAAATGTAAGCTCTGTAGTAACCCGCATTCTCTAAAAGTTTGTTACAATTTTCGACAACTTAGCGTACCAGAACGGAAAAAGTTCGTTGAAGAAAACGGGTATTGTGTCAACTGCTTGGCATATAATCATGTCTTAAAGGACTGTCAAAGTACTTTTAAATGCTTTCAATGCAAAAGATCACACCATACCCTCTTGCACTCTGAGTCTAACCCACCAAATAAGTCTTACGCTCAACGTCCGATGACCCAATCAGCCAACCACTCAACTTCGTTGTTGCACACGCAATCAGCGCCATCTACTCCAACTCAATCTGACGAAACCCAATCGAAACATCCAATTTTCGAGCTATCGCAAAACATCAGCCCTACTACAGATGGGGCTCCAGCTGTTGTGCAAGCTAATTTTTCTAGCAATAACGAAACCACTCTACTGCCCACCGCAGTCGTGCATGTTGAACATCTAGGCGAATTATACTCGCTTAGAGCTTTCATCGACCAAGGGTCACAAAAAACTTTCATATCTGAAAGATCTCAGAAAAGGTTGCAACTTCCCACAACCAAAGAAAATTTCTCTATAACTGGAATGGGCGGTTCAATGGTCGAAAACGTCAATCGAGTTTGCAAACTCGTTCTTGTTTCCAAAAAAACCAACACCCGCATAGAAGCCCAGGCAATTGTACTACACAAATTAACCAGTTTTCTCCCCACCTTCCACGTGAAAAAACCCAGTTTAGCCGTTGTAACAGACTTAGATCTTGCTGATCCAAAATTCTTCAACCCTTCTCAAATCGATATCGTCCTTGGCAGCGATTTAATGCCACAAATTCTTCTAGAAGGAGTCAAACATAACGTCTTCGGGAATCTGTTAGCGCAAAACTCCATATTTGGGTGGTACCTGAGTGGACCGATGAAACGAGAAGTGCTGTCATCTTTTCATACGCACGTCGTGGAGGACAATAGTGAAAGCATAAATTCTCAACTAAAAAAATTTTGGGAAATCGAAGAATTACCAGATAATCAGCAGCCATCCGAAGACGATATCTTTTGTGAGACCTTCTTTGTTAACACAACATACCGTCAACATGACGGGCGCTATGTTGTTCGTCTTCCCTTCAAAAGCACATTTCCATGTGGTCTCAGTCTCGGTCGTTCTCGTTTCCAAGCCATGAAGCAAGCACTTCGCATGGAACACACTCTTAACAAAAATCCGAGCTTAAAAGAAGAGTACACTCAAGTATTAGAGGAGTACTTGACGTTAGACCATATGAAACCTACCTCTTCCGAAGAAATGTATGATAATGGAACATATCAATCCTTTTATTTACCCCATCATTCGGTCATTCGTGCCGAGAGCAAATCCACCAAAGTAAGGGTGGTATTTAATGCGTCTAAGTCCTCTGAATCAGGACTTTCGCTTAATGACGTGCTACATACGGGCCCAAGCTTACAAACCGATTTAATGGTTGTAATATTAAACTGGCGTCTATATCGATATGTTTTCAATGGAGACATCCAAAAAATGTATCGACAGATCCTCGTACATGAACAGGATCAACAATTCCAACGTATCCTCTTTCGTAGGAAAAATTAAAGCAAACCCATTGACTTTGCACTAAAAACAGTCACCTTCGGCGTGAATTGCGCCCCATACCTGGCCATCCGCACTTTACATCAATTAGCAAAGGATTCCCAACTCTCGTATCCATTAACCAAACGCATTCTCACCGAGGAAACATATATCGATGACATCTTATCCGGAAGCCATGATATCCCATCCTGCTTAAATGCACAATCCCAACTCATTCAGTGCTTATTATCGGCTGGTTTTCTTCTAAAAAAGATTACTGCCAATCATCCAGAACTCCTAAAAAATATCCCAACAGAAGATTTGCTGGACTCAGATTTTCTTAAGTTTGATAGTTCAAGCTCCACCAAAACACTCGGCATACGGTGGAATGCCTTGAACGATTCATTCTCATATTCTATTCAGCCAACAAACCCATCAACAAGTGCAACAAAGCGTCAAATTCTTTCGTCGGTGTCGAAACTTTTGTGACGCGGCAGGGTGGCTATCGCCCATCATTATTCAATCAAAAATGCTTTTACAACAACTTTGGCTAGAGGGCACAGAATGGGACGAATGCGTCAAACCACTTTCACTGCACAAGTGGAATCAATTTATCGTAGATTTACCAGCAATAGATCAAATTCAAATACCCAGATGAACAGAATTCGCTCCCGATCGAAACATCCAAATTCACGGATTTTGTGACTCTTCTGAAAAAGCCTACTGTGCATCAATTTATATTCGCGCCCAATCACACGATCATCATGTTACTTCTCATTTACTGTTTTCCAAATCTAAAGTGGCTCCGTTACAAACCATAAGCCTTCCGCGGTTAGAGCTATGTGGAGCAGTTTTATTATCCAAGGCAATCAAAAATGTTATTTCCCAGCTTCCGCTCGTGAAATACGAGTTATTCCTCTGGTGCGATTCATCTATAGTCCTCTCGTGGTTAGAAAAACCGCCATGTACTTGGAAGGTATATGTGGCAAACCGCACAGCCCAGATAATCAAAAATGTCGGGAACGTCAAATGGAGTCATATTTCATCTAACCAAAACCCGGCCGATTTGGGCACACGCGGCTGCAAGCCCCAAGAGTTAGTCCATAACTCACTTTGGTGGCACGTTCCCGAATGGCTAGTGAAACCTGCGGAGCAATGGCCAATATCCTTTCAACAAAAAATTATTCCCCCCGAGATTCGCAAAATTGAAACCCTTCATACACTAGAAGAGGAACCTGACATTCTGAGTCGATTTTCATCATGGCCCAGAGCAGTACGAGTTATTTCGTTTCTTTAACCAAATTAAATCACATCATATACAGTCCACTTCCGAATCTTCATACGAACAATAGTACTTTCGCAAGCCGAAATCCAATTTGTGAAAATTCGACTCATATTACTCGCTTAGCAACGCCATTATCCAAACGAATATTCAAAACTTTCAAACTCCCAAACAGTATCAAAACGGAGTTCACTTCTTTCATTAAATCCATTACTGGATAAAGATGGCATTCTTACAGTAAACGGACATTTGGCAAATGTTCGCTTTCTTACAACGAAAGGCATCCAATTATTCTGCCAGAATCATCAAGATTTTGCTACTTATTTCTCCAATTCGTTTACAATCTGCTAATGCACGCAGAACATCAACTCATGATCAGAGTAGCCAAACAGGAATATTTTATCCCGAGACTTAAGTCTAAAGTTAAACAAACCATTTTCAATTGTAAAATATGTACGATTCATAAGCAAAAAATTCGAACACAAATCATGGCAGCACTACCACCAGAAAGATGTACTTATTCCTTACCATTTACCCGAACGGGCATTGATTTTGCAGGACCTTTTGATATCAAATCAGCTAACACTCGTAAGGCACCCTTTATCAAGGGGTACGTATGCGTTTTCGTATGCTTTTCCACGAAAGCGATACACTTGGAGCTCTGCTCCGATCTTTCTACCAAAGCTTTCCAAGCAGCTTTCTCTAGATTCGTCGGTCGACGTGGCCTACCTCAACTTATCTTTTCTGACAACGGGAAAAACTTTTTAGGAGCAAGTCGTGCCCTTCAACGGGATCTCCAACAATTTCTAAAAGAAGCATCCTCCGTCATCCGCTCGAAATACACCATTCATGGACTCGAATGGCGCTTTATTCCCCCAAACGCACCGCATATGGTTGGCTTATGGGAAGCTGCGGTGAAGAGTTTCAAATTACATTTCAAAAGAGTCGCGGGAAACATGCACTTCACCTTTGAAGAATTCGCAACGCTGCTTACCCGCATCGAAGCAGTACTCAACTCTCGTCCTTTACCACCTATGTCAGATAATCCGCAAGACTTAGTAGCTCTGACTCCAGGACATTTCTTACGAGGTGCACCACTACTCGCTATTCCTGAACCGGAAGCTGAAAACCTCACCCTTCAAAATCGCTGGGAGAAATTAAAATTGCTCCATCAGCATTTTAATATTCGATGGAAGGAAGAATATCTAAAAGAGTTGCATAAAAGATATAAATGGAAATGGCAACAAAAAGATCTTAAAGTTAATGATTTTGTCGTCATCAAAAATGAATTGACACCACCAAATGAATGGCGGTTAGGGAGAGTTGAAAAGGTGTACTATGGCTCAGATAACAAAGTTCGTGTTGCAGACGTTCGAACACAACATGGCCTTTTTACAAGACCAATTATCAAATTATGTCCTCTGCCCATTGCGTCAGAGATAACTCACCCAAACCCCTGACTACAATCTACCCCATTATCTTTGTGCATTGTCCTAGCCAATAATTNACTACTAACGTTTACCCTATTTACAGAGCAATCATGGTTCGAAACAGCAGCCCATCGCCACATCGCCATCATCGCCCTATTGTTCATTTGCG